ACATATATTGAAATATTAAGCACAGTAATTTACATTCTGTTTACGAAATAGGACCAGGACAAGCTCCATGGAAACCAAGCGACTACTCAAAAGTGTGCAGCCTTCACTTTTGAAGTGAAGGCCGCACACAGTCCCACAATTGCGCAAAACACTCGAGGAGTTGGAGTTTGTGATTTCGCGGCGGCCGATGTGCTGAGAGTGCCTCGACACTTGTTGCACATGAATGAAAGCCTCCGCGATGTCTCGCTTAGCAGGTGGGTCACTGACAGTGAAGACACGTCGCCCGGCGACTTGGGGGTTAAAGACCGTATAGGGGTTGTAGGCGACGTCTGGTGGAGTAAAAAAGCGCCTCTTGTCGGCGGAGGCAGCGTACGGGGCGAAGACCCGAAACTCTGGAGGAGCGGTAGCTGCGGTCTGGGTGGCAGCGGAGGGCCATGTATTTTATTATATCATGAGGTATTACTAAATGTCTAAACTATGAGGTACCTAATGTCATTCATGGGGTATCTAAACTCGACAATTCCCAAAAGATGATCATTGAGTGCAGCTCTTATCACTAAATGCCACGGGTCTTAGTCCCCTTCGACGGGTTGCACATATATGGTATGAAGTATGAACATATATTGAAATATTAAGCACAGTAATTTACATTCTGTTTACGAAATAGGACCAGGACAAGCTCCATGGAAACCAAGCGACTACTCAAAAGTGTGCGGCCTTCACTTTTGAAGTGAAGGCCGCACACAGTCCCACAATTGCACAAAACACTCGAGGAGTTGGAGTTTGTGATTTCGCGGCGGCCGATGTGCTGAGAGTGCCTCGACACTTGTTGCACATGAATGAAAGCCTCCGCGATGTCTCGCTTAGCAGGTGGGTCACTGACAGTGAAGACACGTCGCCCGGCGACTTGGGGGTTAAAGACCGTATAGGGGTTGTAGGCGACGTCTGGTGGAGTAAAAAAGCGCCCGGGGTCGGCGGAGGCAGCGTACGGGGCGAAGACCCGGGGCTCTGGAGGAGCGGTAGCTGCGGTCTGGGTGGCAGCGGAGGGCCATGTATTTTATTATATCATGAGGTATTACCAAATATCTAAACTATGAGGTACCTAATGTCATTCATGGGGTATCTAAAACTCGACGATTCCCAAAAGATGATCATTGAGCGCAGCTCTTATCACTAAATGCCAGGGGTCTTAGTCCCCTTCGACGGGTTGCACATATATGGTATGAAGTATGAACATATATTGAAATATTAAGCACAGTAATTTACATTCTGTTTACGAAATAGGACCAGGACAAGCTCCATGGAAACCAAGCGACTACTCAAAAATGTGCAGCCTTCACTTCACCCTTAAAGATTTTTGCCCAGGTAAGCGTAGAAAGATGTTGAAAAAAGATGCTATTCCTACGATTTCTACTCAACCAACTCCACAGGAGGAGTGCAGACCACCCGCCAGCAAGTACTGAGCGACGAGATGATTTTCGAAATCAATGCAATAGCTGCTCTCAAGGCAACAGAGGTGAGACAAACTGAGCTCGGAACCAGTTTGCTGGCAGGAGCAAGAAAACTAGTTTCGGATGAAGTCAGGCATCCATAGAGACGCTCCCGGTCCACTTGCTGGACCATGAGCGGGAGATGCACAACCGGGACCTGCTGGCAAAGGACGAGGAAATCTCCTGGCCGCAAGCGGAGATTCAGGACCTGGCGGACGTCAAGGTGGCCCTGTACCTCGAGATCGCAAACTACGTCCAGAAGCTGCAGCTCCTGGAGGCTGAGGAGTCGCGGCTCCACATCACGCCCAGTGAATACGTGGAGTTGACGAAATAATTCAAGTGCTGCTACCGCCTCCTACATTAACAACAGACAGCGTACGAGGTAGAAAGGAGAAGGAAGAGGGTAGAGTTTCTACTCTAATCCGAACTTAGGAGAAATTGCAATACTGTAATGTATTAAGATTCTAAGGCAGAAATGGGAAGTTATGTAATCATAAGGTATATCATTCTTTGCAGGTTTTCATCAACCATAACCGCTGTGCGGGACGTCTGAACAGAAAAAAAAATGTAAACAAGAAATAAAAAATATTTTTTGGAGTGTCAGGTAATTGGTGCAATGTATTTTATTATGTCATGAGGTATTACCAGGTATCTAAACTATGAGGTACCTAATGTCATTCATGGGGTATCTAAAACTCGACAATTCCCAAAAGCGGAGGGCTGAAACTCAAGCTGGGAGGCCAGCGACTGTTGGCTGGGCGTCAGCTCCAGGTTGGAGACGGTGTCCCCCGAAGGCGGCGACGGGTGGCGGCTGGGGCTGGGGGTGGACTGGGGCAGAGGCCCTCCGGCGGTGACGTTATGGGCCAAGGCCCTTTCAACGGCGGCTGCCAAGGCGTCCGCCATGAATGCCTGGGACTCTGCAGCAATTCTCTGGTTCTCTCGTTAAAGTTCCTTGTGTGTGGCGCCATCCTGAAAACGCCAACAAACACGACGACGCCTTTGTTGAATCGCCTGAAGCGTCAACCGGGGCCCGCAAGGAGTATGAAAGCGCAGCTGCTACGGCAGACCAAGGTCCAAAGTCCAAGGAAGCAAGTATGATGCTGGGTTTCAAGCCCCGCCTGAGTAATCAGAGCGTTCGCGCCAGGGCAGTAACAAACAAAATTGGCTGCGTCATCGCAACTGGCTTGCACTGCTACACAGTCGCAGAGGAACCAGCTTTTCTGGAGCTGAAGAAATGTGCCGTGCTTGAGTACAACGTTCCCTCTCGAATGAACGACGTTCTCGAGGACTGTCGTACCGGAAATGTATGATGCTGCTAGATATGCTTTCCACACTTTGCTGCACAGCATCCTATGGAAGGACGTGGGGTGTATCGCCATCACCACTGACGGCTGGACAAGCTGGCGACAGTTATGTGTTAGTGACATGCCATGTGATGAGTGAGAACTTCGTGCCTTTACTGTATTGTGCTTGCGTACCGCTGCATGTGTGAATGCCACACTGCGGAGAATGTGCGTTCTCTGATCGAGGACATATCTGAGGAGTGGGGCATACCTCTGACGCTTTCTTGCTTCATGGTTACTGAAACGCCTCCCAGGCGAAAATTTCTAACTGGGACCAGTTGGCACCTCAACTGGTTTCAACTGGGACTAACTGGTCCCAACTGGGAATCAACTGGGACTAACTGGTCCCAACTGGGAATCAACTGGGACCAATAGCAGTCCAACTGGGGCCAGCTGAGGGGTCAACTGGTTTGAACCATTCCCAGTTGGGAGTCAACTGGTTTGAACCATTCCCAGTTGGGAGTCAACTGGTTTGACTCCCAGTTGGGAATGGAGTGCACTGGAACCAGTTAGGAAAGTAACTGGTTGGAGCGATTCCCAGTCGGACTTCAAATGCCTTTCCCATTCCCAGTTCACACTGGGCAACAATTTGGACAAGTTGGGGGTGTATTGACCTTTGCCAATGAAGAAAACTAAAAACACTAACATTTTTAGATTTATACAAATAGGGAATTTTAATTACTGGGGTACATTTATATATTTATAAAAATAATATAACAATTTTAATTAACTAAATAATTTTTTAATTGAAAATATAATTAGTGACAAAATGTGTTCACCTACATTTACACTTTTAGTGAATTATTAAAATATATTAAAACATTTATTTAAATACCTACAGTATTTTTTTTTCTTTTAATAAATAAATTTATCTTTTGACTAATCAAAACTAGCCGGCCGCCGTGGCACGTGGGTGCGGATTAGTGGTACGCGCTGTCGACAGATGGCGCTGCCTATGCTGACGCCGGAGTCGGACGGACGCGGTAGAGAAGGGTCGCCATCGCCCAAGTTGGCGTCGTTATGAAAATGTCAAAACTACAGCTGCGCTTCTTTGGACCTAACTGTACACACACCACGGTGGCGGCGGTGAACTTCGAGGATGGAAAGATGCAGCTCAGCGATCGGAGGGCACCCAGGAAAGACCGGACGCACATAGACCGGACGGAAGAGAACACGCCGCGGAGAGCACAATGGCGAAAATGGCGGGAGGTCTACCTCGAAAATGTTCGACTGTTGTGACAGAGATTGCAAGGTGGGAGCGCTACCGCACCCTATCAGGACTTCACCTGCGCAACGCAGGATCACGGGTGAGCACCTTTCTTCACGCGATGGGAAGAGAACCTGAGGACGTCTTCACTAACAGACGCCAGCGGCCGATCTTCCCTCATCTCATGAATACCACCTCTGAAAAAGCGATGCAACCGTCGCAAGCAAGTGGCTAAACCCGGAGCGTGTACATCACCGAACCTATTTAGTTTCATTCTCCAAGTTTTTGACAATAAAGTATTGTCAACCTTGCATTTTGTGCTGTGTTTCATTGTTGCTGGAGTTGGTACCAACTCCAACTGGGACCAGTTGTAACTGGGACCAATTCCAGCTGGGACCAACTCCAACTGGGAATTGTTCCATAAACCAGTTGCAACCGGGACCAACTGGTCCCAGTTGGACGACTCCAACTGGGACCAGTTGCAACTGGGAATTGTTCCATAAACCAGTTGCAACTGGGACCAACTGGTCCCAGTTGAAAATTTTCGCCTGGGCTGGAACTTTGTTTGTGCGATTGTTTGAACGCCGTGGGTGCACACTGCTTGTTCTGCACATACCTTGCAGCTTGGCGTTCAAGATGCCAACAAAGAAACCAAGGGATTCGCAATTGTGTGCCCCAAAGTGCAAGCCAAATGTGGGGTACTACAAACGGAGCAGCAGTGCAAGGGCAAGACTGCAAGATAAACAAAAGAGGATGGGCATAAAAGTTCCTCTTGAGCTGCTACAAGATGTAGCCACAAGATGGAATAGTAAGTACGCCATGCTGGCACGCCTGTTGAAGCTCTAGGCCGCTGTTGCACTTAACCTGGCAGAAACCGATACCTTTGAGAACTTGACCACGGACGAATGGCGTCTTGTACGGCCTTGGTGTTGGTGCTGAAGCCAATAGAAGATACTGCAACAGCTGCTTGTGCAGAGTCTTTCCCAACGCTTTCCATGGTTGTTCCACTTGTTCACTGTGTGAAGATGTTGCTTTCTGAGGACGCAAGTGGAACTCAAGGCAAGGCATTTTCCCAGAATCTTCTGAGATCAGTGAAAACAAGGTTCCTAAACGTAAACAAAGAGTCACCTCATGCCCTTGCCACCTCCCTTGGTCCCCGATTTAAAGACATCTGCTACAGCGAGGAAGAAAAAGAGAATGTAAAGTTCCTTCTAAGTACAATGCTTCAGGACGTACCATACTCAACACAGCTCGCGTCCGAAGAAAGTTGCACCGAACAGCAAAATCAAACCAGTGAGCAGCCTTCAGTGTGGAAGATATTAAACATCTAGGTATTGCCGAAAAAGATTGATGCTCCAAGTTGTCTAATACAAGAGGTCTATGACTACCTTCACACTCCAGTTTTGCCACGTATCTACTGCCCATTCCACTGGTAGCAAACTGTAGGCAAAGAAAAGTATAAAACTATCGCATGTGAGGCGCGACAATACCTGGCAATTTCCGCAACCCAGGTTGCGAGCGAGAGACTGTTCGCAACGTGCTCGAACACTGTGACAAGCCAATGAGAGTCTCTTGCTGCAGAACACGTGGAAAAGCTTGCTTTCTTGCATGGGAGCTATAAGTACCTCAAGCTGACGTAACAAGCCTTCTCAATTTCCTCATCTGCGAAAATCAGATGTATAGTGTACTGTCTCATCTCACTCACATATGGCTATTGAAAAAAAATCTGATAAGGTGTAGGATTTTTTTTTCTTAGTTCCGCGCGAACTGTGATTTTACGTTCAGCATCCGCGTGGACCTTGATATTATGTTTAGCATTCTAACAATTTAGTAGCTTTTGTCTCTATTTAAATATATATATTAGAAGTCTAATCATCGTCGTCTAGTCGGATTGTTACAATGATTTTAAGACACGTTATAGAAAAGTTTTTTTTTTTTTAATCAGTACTCTCCTTTAGTAGCAGTCAACAGACTATTTGAAAATTATTCTATTCGTATTCGATTCAGTGCCATAATTATTCAATTCGTATTCGATTCGGTTTCAAAAATCACTATTCGCACACCCCTACGCAACAGTAATCTTTACCGCGAAAAGTATGCGGTTAGCGCAGCGTGCCTCACATTGTTATTGGGACCACCTTATTATCAATTATCTGGTTGCAATGCTTGTTTTGTGCTTGTTCTTTATTGAAACGAATGCTGCGGTGTATGTTGCATGTGTGATGTTTTTGTTGTTGTTGTTCTTTTTTTTTTTTGCGAGGACGAATGTCCTCACAAAAAAATTGCTCCCAGATTACTACTACTAGGACATGTGAGGAAACCGAAACTGACAAGGGATAACAAGCTGGAGGTCTGTGAATAGCCCTGCGTGTACTTTAATGGTATGTTTACATCTGAGAAGAAATCCGGTGCCGCGGGAGCGGATACGCTCCCGGCAGTGGCGGCGACGAGCGGGTTGCCTTTACATATATTTCCTTCGAGCGGCGGCACCGGCTGCGGCAGCTGTTCTCGTAACATTCCAACAAATATGACGAGAAGGCGCGAGAGGTCCCACCTCGGGCTCGGTTGTCTCTCCCAGGCCGTTGCTGCTCCCAGAACAACGCATACTCATGACGTGAGCAGCGTCGCGCTGCGCAACAATGTCACTTCCGGTCAGTGAAACGCCTTGTTCGGCGGCAGAAATAGGTCCCGGACCCATACGGCTCGCCGCCGCGTTTTCCGCCCAGCGTTTCGCCTCAGCTGGAAAAGCTGGGCGGATTCGCTGACGGATCCGCAAGTGTAAACGTACCATTAGGCAGCGTAAAGTTAGTTGGCCCCAATGAGCGTCTCGGGAAACGGAACAAATGGTCCTGGAACAAATGGTCCTGGAACAAATGGTCCCAGAATAAATGGTCTTGGAACAAATGGTCCCGGAATAACTGGTCCCGGAACTAATGGTCCCGGAACTAATGGTCCCAAGTACAAACTAGGAAAAAATGGTCCAAGATAATTATTGCCCATGTGGCTTCTGCGTTTTCAGATAAATCCGATAAAATCAGCACTCGCCAAATTTCGAGGCTGCCGGTTGCGCGCACTCGACCGGTTTTTATACTTTTCTGGGAAGCTTAGAAATGTTTTCTGAGCAACCCCACCCTTTTTCCTCAATTGCACGACTATTTGCAGCTTGGCTTCCAGTTGATGCGGGAGTGTTGTACACTATAAAAAATAACCGTAAAATATTGGTCAACTTGGCTAAAATATCACTGTCGACCAACCGTAAAAAACTAAACAGTATTCGTCAGTATTCCGCCCTTCGCTACCTGTGCGAAGCACAAAAACAGAGGGAAAAGAATGAGCGGAAGAGGTTTCTCGTCTACATCAAGGTCGCAGGGAAGCGCTCGTCTGAATACGCATGCGCGTGCGGGAAAAAAGGAGGAGGAGGGGAGAAAGCGGGATGGGGGGAGGGGGGTTGGTCTGTTTGGCGCAGCGCCGTCGCTGCCTCGTTGCCTAGTTTTTTTTATTTACCCAACTGTCAAGCAGAAGATGAACCAGCCTGTCGACCACCTGACGTCAAAAGTCGAGTGAATGCCTGTTTGCTTCGGAACAAAGTACGGGAAGGTCCACCGTTGCTTTCACTTAGCTGGACACCCTACTGCCTAATACGTAAGCTATTTATGGCATGACCTTTGGGTATTTGTATGTTTACCATACTAACAAACCCCATACTTTAGCATTGAAGATGTGACTATTTTAATGCACCCGCGATATATGAAAGAAGTTCACGGTGCGGTGTTAGAGTCGAACATGTCATATACAACGCATCGCTTATATCTTGCATAGAGGATATTCATTCATAAAGATCGGAACAAATAATGTTCAGAAAGAAGGCATAAACGGCAAGGGGCTTTATGCGTAATGAGTGGGGCAACGAACTGACTTATAAAAAGGACTTGGTTTAATATTTACATGACCGCGGTAAAATCCATCCTGACAATTGCCCTGCTTCCTCGTCGTTCCAAAACCAAAATGTCCCTCCTCGCGCCACCAACACTTCTTCTTCGTCCTCAGTCCCAGACACAATCTTGTTCAGCGAAAAATGTCACAGGCGCGAGACAGGATCGCCCTCGACTAGTCATTTTCCAACAGGGCTCTCTACTCTACCGTTGTGGCTGTGCTCTGTTGCTCAGCAGGATGACCAAGGAATGTCCTTCCTCATGGGTATTGGTCTCCATTAAGTGTAAGATACCCACTCAGAGCTATATATTGAGTGAACCATTCCATGTTGCACTACATATATCACTGTAAAAATATTCCGTAAATAAAAGGCGTACAAAGAGGAGGAGTCCCTGGTTATCGACGCGCAGATCGACGATTTTGTGTTCTCGTGAGTTAGAGAACATTCTCGACCAGAAAATTCGGAACTCGATCAGTCGAGAATGTTCTCGAACTCACGAGAACGCAATGTTGAAAGAATAAATAGAAGGGCATTCCACCGACTGGAATCGAACCTAGATTTTCCACGCGACAGTCAAGCGCGGTAACCACTCGGCCACGCACGTGGTCGCTCGCTCGCCGGCGCACGTGGCAATATTATTCTATTTTTAATTGGTAGATTTGCATTTCTCTTTTTCTTCTGATTCAACTTAAAATCGAGGGTTGTTTTTTTTTCTTTCAATTTTTGAGGGGTCGGCATAGAATCAATAGCGGCCTAGGTTCAAATAAATAGGATACTTCCTGCCACAACCAGATCAAGCGCTCCTAGGCTCCTAGGCACGTGAGCATACTTAGGCCACAACATACTTTATTTCGGCCTCAATTGGCGAAAAGTGAATGCTAGAACCCCTAAGCCAACCAGAACGAAAATCGAGAACAATCGCCGGTACATTTTCCGTCGATATATTTTTCTGAAAAACACAAACTTTCAAAATCAAAACGACAGAAAAAAAAAAAGATGGTGTTTTACAAATAAACTTTATATGAGCACAGTGTCACTGGTCCTGGGGCATGCCACTTCAGTTTCCTTTGAAATATATACGTAGAACTACTCACAAAAGGGGTTTGCCCTTTGAGGTTTCTTCAAGACAGTGGGTCATGGTACCCGGACTTTATTTTGTTTTTGAAGTTTTTTTTTTAATTATAACAACACAGGCAAATTAAATCCGAATTTAAAAGATTGGGAATTTGACAAAAATAAACTCTGATAAACCCAGAATTATCAGCGAAAAATGAACTAAAAACAAACATCTTCCGACTTCATGAGAAAAATCTCAGAAAACACGCGGAATCCTAGCTGCATTTGTGACAACATATAAGAAATTGAAATTGAAATGATTAACTGATCAACCTTTGAGATCAACGACACAGCAGCCGTCCAGCCCGGGTACGGTGTGAGAGGGCTGCTTGGTCTCTCGGGGGCAAGCGAATTCGGCTAGAACTCCAGCAATGTTTGGGGCCATGTGTGTTTTTCCCCTTATATGTGCTCCGATGTCTTCGTTTCGGCACCTCGCCATGTTCTTGTATATGCTTAGCCCAGGCGAAAATTTCTAACTGGGACCAGTTGGCACCTCAACTGGTTTCAGCTGGGACTAACTGGTACCAACTGGGAATCAACTGGGACCAATAGGAGTCCAACTGCGACCAATAGGAGTCCAACTGGGACCAGATGAGGAATCAACTGGTTTGAACCATCCCCAGTTGGGAGTCAACTGGTTTGAACCATTCCCAGTTGGGAGTCAACTGGTTTGACTCCCAGTTGGGAATGGAGTGAACTAGGACCAGCTAGGAAAGTAACTGGTTGGAGCGATTCCCAGTCGGACTTCAAATGCCTTTCCCGTTCCCAGTTCACACGGGGCAATGATTTTGACAAGTTGGGGGTCTATTCACCTTTGCTAATGAAGTAAACTAAAAATACTTACATTTTTAAATTTATACAAATAGGGATTGTTTTAATTACTGGGTACATTTATATATTTATAAAAATAATATAAAATTTTAATTAAGTAAATAATTTTTATTATTTACTTATTACTTATTATT